TCATCATCTGATGAGGTTGAATCAGAAATAGAACTTGGGTCTTCTCCAACCCCTTAGCCACTATATTACTCTGGATCTCAGTGTTTTCAAAGAGGAATGAGACATATTTGCTCCAGATATCACTTTCAAAGAAAGAAAAAGGGCAAAAAGCTACAAAAACAAAAGAACGGGTTGTCCCCTCATCCCAAATGGAAGTGATCGACCCAGCATTCCTCCTGCTGGGTGAAATTCTAATCCATTTAGCAACCTGGGGTCAACTGCCATGAGCAGTAGAGAACCAACAATCTACTTCCCAAGGAAGGACTTCAGTGGGAAAGCTCTGGATGAAGAGACTCAGCATTCTTTCAGAACTTCAGCACTTCCATATAGTATCTTGGAGAAGATTTGGACAAGTAGAGACATCATGGGTAGGAAGCCCAGGTTCCACGTGACTGGGGACGAGAGGAGGAAATTGGAGGATTCTATAAAAGGATGGGTTGTTTTGTCAGTTGGTTCCCAAATCAGAGCATTCCATTCTTTAAACTATTTACACAAGTTATGGACTCTAGCAGGGCTGTCATCCAACTTTCTGCTACCCCCATTAGCTCAGTTTCCTTGGTGAAGATAAATATATTTGGAAGCTTTTAGATTTTACAATTCTATTTTGGATACAACTGTTGAAGTGATTTGGAAGCAATTTGTGGTCTCTTATTTGGCTTACATCAGTAGTATTCAGTTATCCCCCCCCCCAAAAAAAGAGCAAACTTGCTCACTAGCATATGCTGACCTCAATTAATGGCATCTTAAATAAGTATCAAGGGTGTAATTTTGCTGCTTGCAAATGGACGTATTTTCTCAGCACAATACTCACAGCTATGGTCCTATACCTTTCTTCGTTATATTGTTGGTTGGTTCCAGTCAATCCATCTAGTTATTGTTTTGACCGCCGATCATAACAAATAAGATAAAACCTGCACAAAAGTGGCCACACATTAATAAAATATAAACAAAAAAAATCAGTAAGAACTTTCAGTGTTATTAAACTGTTTTAATAGCAAATAAAATATTAGAAAGCATTAAAAACTTTTGATAAATTATTGTCTCTGTTTAGCAGCAGCCAGTGCAAAACTTGCTAATTTGCAAAGCAATGTCTCTTTGTCTAAAGCCATTAGATTAGGTTTTAGGTAATTCCATCCATTCCAGTCCCATAGTACTTGAAGTGTAGAGTTCTTTCAAGCCTATCCCCCCCCCCCAAAAAAAGAGGAAAAAATTGATGATCTCACACATACATCAGCTGAGACGAGGTTCCAGAAATGCAGACCTAGCATTGAAAAGGAGTTATTGTGTGTTCCATTCTCAGAGGAAGCACTGGTGTTTTCATTTCCAGCTGAAGTAAATCTTAGATTTTATAGAGCCCTACTTAATGGACTTTGGATGAAATAGATAAATATGGAGCTCAAGCATTGCTGCCAAAAATGGACAAAATCCAATGTACAATATCTGAAATAACCCAAGCCACTGACATAATTTATTTAACTTGCATCATTTAACATCGCTGATGTAATGCTTAATTGACATTGCTTGTGTTATTGTGAGAGTCACATGAGTAGGCAAGCATACCAAATTGGGCAAATAGATGCAAACTGACCCACATTCTATAAACGACACCCATTATACTTAACAGACATTCAAATTCAACATCACCCCTTCTGTCCAAATGGCCCATTAGCTTGAGCTTCAACTGTAGTTGATTACATCGAACATCAGAAATGGAAAAGGGGCAATCTTAAGCTATAAGAAGGTGGATTCTGATTGAATGTTACAAAGAAAAGCTTCCTAACAGTAAACACGGGTGGAAGCTTTGTTTGTTTATGCATTCTTACCCTCTTTATAAGCCTCCCTAATCAACTGTGAATCTGGATGGCAAGCCACCCAGTGGGTATACACAAAACTAAATTATGAAGTCCAAACATATTAAAACTAAAACTAAATGTACAAGAAGCACCTGCAGAAGGAGTGACAGAATCTGAGGGTGGAGTTAAAAGAGGGATCAGCCTAGAATCCCTACATAGCCACAAGTGAACTAAGTCCAATCCCCCTTGAATTCAGTGGACACTTATCTAACTCCAAGTAGGTGCTAACCATTAGTTGAAAAGAGTCCTGTGCATAGGCTATGTAATAAATAAATCAGTTTAATTGGACCTTGACATATGGACCTGTCTTTTGCATCTGATAACACTAGAACTAACAAGAGCTCAAATGCCCATTAGAGCAACATGGTTTTAAATTGCATCCTAAATGCAAAGGGGGGTGAGGGGCCATCTTCATCCTAGGAATAAGGTCTTCCAAAGAGTAAGAGGCACCATTGACACCCCTGTCCTATACCATTTCAAACAAATGAGAGACAAATGAGTGTCCAGTTTTTTCTTAAAAACTCCACTGATGTTGAGGTGGAACCCAGCTTTTCCAGGTTTTCAGGACATGGCTGTTATTAGTTTTCCTTGAGATTCTTTTCCCATATATGTCTTCCCTAATTCAACATTCATTCAGTGTGTAGAGAGCCATCTGTATAGCCAGTGGTGGGATATTCTCAAGAGATGCTAGAAATCTGTTTGAAATTTGAGATCTGTTGAAACAGATGTTTCCTTGCCTCACTAGTTTGCATAGAAGTGTAAATTTTTTGGAAATTTTGATGCAATGCAGAAAGAAAGGAAGGGGGGGTCCTTTCTTCCCCATATGGATTTGGGGGAAAATTAATATACAATATTTAATTTGTAGCACACTTTACAGAGTCATATTTTAGCTTTCATATATAAAAGTCATTATAAAATATTATAAATAAATAAGTGGATGACCAAGCATGTTTTATACACGCATGCACACATATATAAGTTAGGCTCTTTCAGACAATTGAGGTACAGTTTGCTGAATATTTTAACCATCACTACAAATTGCAAAATAAAATACTGAATTCTAAAGAAAGTCATGAGCCTCAATTTTAGCATGTTTAGAAGACAGAAAGTTTGTCCATTGAAAACAAGAGAAACCATCAGTATTTCAGTAAAACAAATAAAGTTATATAGTCTTTGCCCTCCATAATATTAAAAAATATACAAAAAAAACATTAGAAAAGGCTAAAAGGGGTGGACTAGGGCTTAGAATATGTGCTTTGCAATATAAAATCTTGAATAAGTTCCATTTTGAATTGATTTTGAATTATTACCATTTATCAACAGTTTCAGCATCTTCTGAATTTGATAAATTTCTTTTACCAATTTCATTCATTTTTTGGACCACTGCAAGCTTCTCTGTCTGTCTTCTACATTTGATTTGGTGTATTTTCAAAAACAGTCCAATTTCTATGATGCCATTCAAAATGAAAATATCCCCAAATACTGATGTTTCCAAAATTTCAGAAAAAGAAGAGCTACGGTGCTTTAGGACAGGATTTTTAAAGAAAGCTTTGAGAGAGATTCTTGTCTAACTTAGAACTCCATAGCTTGGATTGTACTTGGAAACTTTCATTCTCGGTGATCTTCATTTCTTTCTTGGTAGCGTTTGTTATTATTCATCTCTGTTGTTTGTTATTCTCCCGTATTGCATATTTTACACTTCCACTGAAAAAGTCAAAGAAATATAAGCTGTTCAAGAACGCCTCTGGACCACAGTGATATATAAACTCCAGTACAGAAGCACTAAGTATAAGTTTTAATATGCACATTATACATTTTAAATTCACATTTAAAAGTTCTGTACTTTTAATTGAGAGTGCACAATATTATGCTTAAAAACTCTGCTAATGACACTCACTGGATGTCATTAATTTTTAATCATTTGTAGCATTTTCAAAAGCTACCACAAAACACCGTGGGAGTTCCTCACAGTTGTATCATATGTTACCAGAAAAGCTGGAACAATAAATTTGACCACCACACTCCCTAAAAACTAGCTATGGTGAACCAGTAAATTCTTTCTCTCAACTTAGAACCGGTTAAGAAAAAAAATATTTAAAATATTCACGTTCATAAAGAATTCTGGTATAAATAAAGATGCCTTGTGCCGTAAAAATCCATTCTCCCATGCTGTTATTTATATCTCTCTCTTAATCTCTCTTATTTTTTTCTTAATCGCATTATATTGTTGTTTTATCTTTGTTTACTTGATTGTGTTATTGTACACACCCAGAGTCATGTATGTGAGATAGGCAGAAATTTACTCAGAAATAATCCCCACTGATGTCACTGAAATTCCCAGATAAACATGCCTGGGATTACCAACTTTTATATTGGTAAACTACCAGCCAGGCTAGAAGGAGGAATTAAGCAGGGACCTAGCTTGGAGTTCTTGCATATCCACAAAAGGCATCAGCCTCAGCTCTTCCAGGATCCATGAAATCTTATTGTCAGAATCCAATTATATTTCATTTCTAGTTATCTACTGTGGAAAAAACCCATTTCTGCTCTCTCTGGATTCTGTCATACTATGAAGGGGAAGGGGGATGAGCAAGGGGGTTTTATGGCTCTCACTTCCTTCATTAAAACTTCAAAAGGCCTGGATGTTGATTCTCACCAAGAGGACTGACCATAACAATATGGCCATCGCCTTTCATCTACTCTCTCTGAAGTCTCCCTTTTGCCGGCAGTAAGGAAAAAGGGGGGGGGGGACAAGGATCGTCGCCCGGAAGAACTGTGGGGTGGGGAGGCTGCTTGGGAACGCTTAAAATATTGAAGGATGGGAGATAATTTCTCAGATCCTGTCTAGCACACCTACAATCATTTCTCTTAATAAATATGCCTGTTGGAAGAGATATTCCAAGAGTTCTGTATTCTTAAGACGTAAAGTGAAGTGGGTCCTTACACTTACCTGGTGGTTCCCAGGGGGAAAGCAAAGAGCCTGGGGAGATTCTTGTAACATAGATAACTAAAGCTATTCACGAATGGCTCTCGTTGCTTGTACCTGACACTATTACTATTTTCCACCTAGCAGATTACCATTTTTCTTTCCCTTTGTTTTCCTATTAGGTCGAAAGGATTGTAGACAAAAGGAAGAATAAAAAGGGCAAATGGGAATATCTCATACGGTGGAAAGGTTATGGAAGCAACGAAGACACATGGGAACCAGAACATCACTTATTGCACTGTGAGGAATTCATTGATGAATTCAATGGACTGCACGTCACCAGGGAAAAGCGCGCTAAACACGGGAAACAAGCCAACGTGCCCAAATTTTTACGAGAAAGCAGGGGGTCATCCCTGGACAAGATAACCCACAGACCCTCAGACTCTGGGAAAAGCAAAGGACTCTCCCATAAAAGGAAGCGCATGACCCCCACCTTTCAAAAGCCAAAAAAAAGCTACGGAGCAAAACCTGCCTCTTCAAACGACAGAGCTGCTAAAACCGTATCGTACCGGACTACACCGAGTGGCTTGCAAATCATGCCCCTGAAAAAGCCACACAACGGCTTGCAGAATGGAGATGCCCCTTTCGAGAAGGATTCTGCTCACTTGGGGAATGGCTCTCAAAAGGCCAGTGAGGAGCTAAATGAAGCTGAAGGGGAAGCCAATTTGCCCGGCGTTCTCGAAGTCAACAACGAGACGCCCATCATGAATGGTATCGGTATGTGGATTATCTTTATATGAAGCCATCTTTTTTTTTTTTAACTTGGAATAGTATTGCAATAATGACGTAATACTTTGATTGATTGATTGTAGTGCCATCAAGTCATTGATGACTCTTAGCAATCATATAGATTTTTTTCCAGGGCAATCTGTCCCTAACCTGGTCCTTCAGGTCTTCCAACAATGCATCCATCACCAATGTGACTAAGTCTAGCCACCTTCCTGCTGGTTGTCCTCTTCTTTTTCCTTCCGCTTTTCTCATAGAGCCAATTTGGCCTAATGGGCAGCAGGTTAGTCAGGAGACTGTGATTTCTAGTCTAATGCATAAAAAGCCAGCTGGGTGACCTTGGACCAGTCCCTCTGTCTCAGCCCAACCCACCTCAGGGGGGGGGGAAAAGGGATAGAGGAAAGAGTATTATATATGTTCACTGCTTGAATTATTTATAAAAATAATAAAGACAGGATAAAATCAAATTAATAAAGATTAGAGCATCCTCTAAATGGCTTTGCATTATTGGATGGATGGATGGATGGATGGATGATCAGTTGAAGATTGAATGGGTAGGCCTCTTTTGTGTTGATCTGTCCTCAACCACAGTGGTCCAGGGTAGTTATGATGCCATGCAGTTGACTGAGTCTCCCATTTTCAGTGGTTTTTTTGGAGGTATTTTGCTGATTTAAGTAAAGTGGACCAAGGCAGTTATAAAATGGATTCCACTTGATAAAAGGCGTCCACAAAAGAGACTAAAACAAGATGTAGCGACGACATCAGCAAATATCGTGGCCCCAATTGGCAAAGAAAGCTCCAGACCACATTAATTGGAAACATGTGGAAGAGGCCTTCATAGACAATGGCTAGATCAGGGGTAGGCAACCTTGGCTCTTTTATGACTCGTGGACTTCAACTCCCAGAATTCCTGAGTCAGCATGGCTCAGCTTGGAAACCTCTCCCTTTTCCCTCAGCATGGCTGGCTCAGGAGTCATAAAAGAGCCAAGGTTGCCTACCCCTGGGCTAGATGATGAAGTAAGGTGTTGGTTTTCTAAAGCCAAGCACATTTTATTTCTTTAGTGTCCTGATAAAAACTACGTGAAAATAGACTGCTGGTTTAGGATAATGTATCAGAAAAAATCAGGAGTGCTCATCTAGGTTTTCTCTTCATTCGGGATCCCTCTCAAACGCATAGGCTTGAATTTCTGTTTCTGTTCTACTGTTTCATGTTAAGACTGAGTAGTTTTCTTCTCTATGGATCTCACGAATTCATCTCAGCTTTTACAACTCAGGAATTGTCTTGTTCTGTGATAGGTCAGGAGAAACGGCTGATAGTTTGCCTTTAGGAAGTAAAGAGGGCAGAAACTAGAAGATGATGTTTCACAGTGGTAGCATCAACTCTCTGAAACACCCTTGCAAGTCAAATCAAACTGTTCCCCTGCCTGGTGGCATTTAGGAAAATGCAAAAACTGAGCCCTTTCGGAAAGTGTCTTTAGTTCAAAATTAGCCCACGTTTTATTTAATTAATGTGTTTGATTCCCTTATGATGTGTTCATTCGAGATGTTTTTAATTAGAAGAACTATAAGTGGATTAGGTTTACTTATACGGTATCTTGTAAACTGTTGAGAGCCATTCTTGATTGCAGGCGAATGCACATGCAATTAATTAAGCTATGAGAATCCTGGTTGACTATACTTTTTCTTATGCTACCCAATATACAAATATTGTCATGGTTTTGTTTTTGTTTTTTTTAAAAAAATAACTTAGTTGATCTAATCTTTGCCAAGCCATTTTTAGAATTCAGAATATTGTTTCTGTGTCTTTTTCATCAACATTAAATGGGCCAAAAAATAAGATGGGAGAGAGAAAGTAGATGAAAGGATAAGAAGGGACCCGCAGTCCAATGATGGCAGAATCCCAACATGGATGAATTATTGTTTCACTGTGAGCATAATAGTCTGTGAAATCTGATCAAATAGTTTTATGCTATAGAATAGAATAGAATAGAATAGAATAGAATAGAATAGAATAGAATAGAATAGAATAGAATAGAATAGAATAATGGAATGAAGTAGAAGAATGGAATGGAATGGAATAGAATAGAATAGAATAGAATAATGGAATGAAGTAGAAGAATAGAATAGAGTAGAATAGAATAGAATAGAGTAGAGTAGAGTAGAATAGAATAGAATAGAATAGAATAGAATAGAATAGAATAGAATAGAATAGAATAGAATAGAATGCGGGATAGGATAGGATAGGATAGGATAAGATAGGAGTAGATAGATAGAATAATAGAGTTGGAAGGGATCTTGGAGGTCTTCTAGTCCAACCCCCTACTCAGGCAGGAAGCCCTATACCATTTCAGACAAATGGTTGTCCAATCTCTTCTTGAAAACTTCCAGTGTTGGAGCACCCACAACTTCTGGAGGCAGGTTGTTCCACTAAATAAAAACCAAGTACTCAAGATCAAGATCATTGTCTGCATTCAGGTTATATAGTTTTGCCTGGTCTTGGTCTGCAGCAACACATTCTTGAATAGAGCTTCAGAGCCAATGAGAGAAGACCAGTTGGCATGGAATTGTTGCTATCTGAAACTGATCGCGGTAATTCCACAAATATCTGGTTGGTTTCTTTGAATGCTAGATAAAATTGACTTTTTGGGTGATGGGCTCTTTCAGAAGGATCAACACAGTTCAGCAGTCAAAGGCCAATTGATTTAAACCAGAAGAAGATGAGGTCAGAGAAATAACAGTGACCTTACGCTCATACAGGCAAACAATGATAAGCATACTACTGTTATTATATTGAGTTCATCTAGGAAGATTTGATGCTCTACATTAAGTTCTATAGTGGAATAAGAAGAGAGGTAAATGAGTAAGAATGCAGTAGAAAATCAAATGACTTGTGATTTGTATACTTCTCACCATTAAGAGGGAGTTCACAAGCTCTCCAAATTCCGCCACAACACTGTTGACATTAAGGCTTAGATCTTTTCCAACTATCATACCTATGGTTATCTTTGGGCCAATTACTTGATTGTCAATATATTGTACTATTATTTTGACATCATAGCATATCCATTTCATGAAGAATTAGTATATAAATCCAGTTAGTACCTTGTCTTATCTAGATTATGCAGTTATGATTATGATATTGTTAATGGTTGAATCCATACCTAATCATACTTAGCATGGACTTGATGAAACCATTAATATTTAACATAACTATGAGCAGCAAGTCCTGTTGATTTCATTGGGTCTACTCAAAGCATGTTCGTTTTTGTTTGCCAATAATCCAAGTAAAACTACTGGTTCTCCTTTCATTTTCCAGATGTTGGGCACTATGCAACTTGAAACATGAAGGAAGTTTGCTATTTTTAGGTGGCTTTTGAGCCTGTTAACTTACAAAAGCTTTCCAGCACATATTCAGATGAAATGTCCTCTCTTCTTCACACTCCTACTCCATTTGTTCCTTCAAAGCTTTATGCTTTGCTGCTCTCATTCAAGTCAGTTCACTCCTGCTGGTAGCCACAAAAGGAAGCTGGATTCTTTTATTTTCATTTTTATCCCCGCTTCTCTGAGGCAGGCGTTTTCCTCGTGAGATAGGATACCAGCCTACATAGCGTGCTTTGCCCATGTGCAAGGCAGTCCCATGTGCAAGAGCAGAGCCAAAAGGAGAAAGATGAGTCAGCAAAATATAAGAGGCAAAGGAGAACCAAATCATGAGACCACCACTAGAAATAAGGGAGGGCAGAATTAATGCACATGTTAATTAGCTTAATTCATTAACGGTGGTGCTAATTTTGTACCTGATTTTTTTAAAGCCACTCAAGGCTTGGAGTGAGCAGTGAATCAACTAAAACCTTGTGGAAAAAGTGCAAAGAAGAGTGACAAAGATGATTGGGGAGCTGAAGGCTAAAACATATGAAGAACGGTTGCAGGAATTGGGTATGTCTAGTCCTAATGAAAAGAAGGACCGGGGATGACATGATAGCAGCCTTCCAGTATTTGAGAGGCTGCCACAAAGAAGAGGGGGTCAAGCTATTCTCCAAAGCACTAAAAGGCAAGACAAGAACAAAGAGAGAAACAACCTAGAACTAAGGAGAAATTTCCTGACAGTGAGAACAATCACCCAGAGGAACAAATTGCCTTCAGAAGTTGTGGGTGTTCCAACACTGGAGGCTTTTAAGAAGGGACTGGACAACCATTGTCTAAAATGGCATAGGATCTACTACTTGAACAGGGGGTTGGACTAGAAGACCTCCAAGATCCCTTCCAACTCTACTATTCTGTTATTCCAAAATAAATTCAACATTTTGAGGAGAAATGTTTTCTTTAATTGGCTTCCTGCCGATCTTTGATTCCATTCTGATTTTCTCCCACATCTCTTGTGGTCTGATTTCAAGGGGCAAATTTTGCAGGACGTTTCTTATTCAAACAAAGGACCCTTTTCAAAAAATATTGACCCTGGCGATTCAGATGTAAACATAGCACTGGATGAGTACACAGTGGCTTAATATTTTTAACATGCTTGCTTTTACTCCTCATTGGAAGAGCATTCAAGATAGCATCTTCTGAATAAAATGAAGTACAGGGCAAATATCCAGCCCAACGAAAATCAGTTCCTAAAATTTTGCTCACTAGCTCATTTGTTCTTAAAATCCACTTACCCCTGCAGCTACTTATGAAAAATTTAAATTTCATACATACAGCAATGTCCTTGCGACTTGTCAAGGATTTTACTTATCCTTCACATTTCCAAGCTAATTTGTCCCTCCTGCTGACTTTCTGCAACTATTCATTATAATTGGTGACCTTTGGGTAGGGATTGAATGAATGAGCTATGTGCGATGGCAGCAGCCATTTTGAAGTTCTCAAGAACCCCAAAGTATCTCTGAACCAAATTCCCTGGAAGGGAACCCTCACTTTGATGTTGCCAAATGAATTTCACGCTCTTCCTGGAACAAAAGAGCTACTCTCAGCAATCCAAAAAAAAAAATCCATCC